GGGCTTTATCTGGATGCATGTCAAAAGCAGCTGCTCTAACTTCCTCCGGCGTAATATCCCTAAGAAGAAGATCATTTTGAGTAGCAGTAAGTTTTCCTTTAACAGGTCCCACATTCCCTGTGGATGTCCTCCCCCCTGCCGCAAACAGATCTTGAAAGTACCTCAGCACCATGCCTCGGAGTCTTCGCTGGTCTGTGACCCAATTCCCTGAACCATCTTGAAGACCTTTCATACCATTTTTCCTACGTCGTTGTTTGACCGAGTTATGGAAGAAACGGGTATTAATGTCTCCATGTTGCAGCCAAAACTCCTTCGCACGTTGTCTCCAGAAATCATTTTGTTTCTCTAGAAGAGCCAAATACTCCCCTTTTATTTTGGCAAACTGGTTAACACTTGCTATATCCGAAAGCCCCTGGAGAATTTCCATTTCTTTTTTGCACTTCTCTATCTGCCGCTGGAAGTTCCTCTTTAAATGTCTCCCCCATTTATCTAACGCTTCACCACAAAAAAGAAGTCTTTCTTTTAAATTCCGGCCCGTACTGCTCTCCCATGCGCCTTCAACAATTCCCCTACATTCTTTCTCACGCAACCAGTGATTTTCAAACTTAAAACCACGTCTTTGACGTATAGAATTATCAGTTTCATACCGCAGAAATAATGCCAAATGATCACTGTTACTTCCAATAACAGTTCTCGCCCAAGCAGCCCCAAACAAAGATAACCAGCCCTCTGTCACTAGTACACGATCCAGTTTCTCCTCTACCCAAGCCGGGGTGCCTCTCCCGCGCTCCCATGTAAATTGATGGCCCTCAAAAGGAAAGTTTACCAAACCACTATTCCACACAGCATTTCGGAAACCCTCTAGCATCCATGGTGGTTGCCCATGAGGCCCCTTCTTTTCAAAATCATACATCAAATCATTAAAATCGCCCATCACCACCCAAGGCAAATTGTTGACTGATGATAAATGCATGAGTAGCTCCCAAGAATCTCGACGTTTATGTCTCTCAGGATTACCATAAAAGCCGGTAAAACGCCATTCATTCAGCTCTCTTCCAGATACCACAGTCGTATCAATATAATTTCGGGAATAGCTCTCAACTTTAATCTTCACTTCATCTTTCCATAACATGGCAATACCTCCACTGCGCCCAATACTGTCAACCGAGAAAGCATGATCAAAGCCCAACTGTTTCCGTACTTCCTCTACACGTGATGTACCAGTTAAGGTCTCCATGAGAAATAACAAATTTGGTCGGTGGGAGGCTATCATATCTGCCAGAACCTGTACAGTTGCAAGATTGCCCAACCCCCTACAGTTCCAACTAACACACCCCATATCCAACAGCAGAACACCAAAACTCAACCAAAATGGCAAGCACAAAAACACTCCCCACAATTGAGGGAGAAAAACTGGCCGGAAACAACCGGAAAGACCACAGAAATTGGAGAAAGAAGAAAAGCGTCAAGGGGCTATCACAGACCTTTGCCGCCGCCCTGACCTATCTTCCGTCAATGCCACATCCTAAAAGTTGTTAAATAGACTATTTGTATTCCAGCTTCCATAAGTGCCAAGGTAGCGAAGCTTGGGTTACGTTTGAACATCATATGCTTGAAGCAAAGTAAACAACCCCACAAGATTCCACTCTAGAGAAACTCGTCCAAATGTCCAATGATAGTTTTGCCATTATTTCACGGTTTGACTTATTTTTTGTGAACTTAATTTTAAGACATTGGAGTTATTGAAACGATTTTTGTTGTCTTGAACCTAAGAGAAAGCTAGGTATTGAGTAAAGAAATTGCCTCATATAGGTATTGAGTATTGAATACTCCGTATGATGTATCATGTATGGTTTATGGTTACTTTGATACTGAATTACCGATATAGGCGACTTTTATTCAAAAAAATCTCCCGGTTTTAATACCCTTTTCACTTTTTCTCATCCACTATTCGTTAACATATTGATTTAAACATATTTGGGATAACACTTATATAATACGTGCATTAATTTCACTCGAAAAAAATACATTAGCACTAAACTTCGTGTGTGATTAGTTGACAAATCCTTGCCTGTGTTTGATAGATAGACATAAATCCTTACGTTTGAACTCATGTGCGGCTATACAAAAAGTCTCTAGATGTTCTTAATTAGTTCTATGTATGTAGTATGAAATTTTAAAAGTTCTGTTTAAATCCTTTTTATGAGCTACACCGAGTAGCTTCTAAAAAGTATTACCTCTCTCTCATTAGAAGGTTCCCGTCCACTATTCGCATGACCAACTTAAATTACTTTTAATCTTTTACTTTATATATCAAATTTATATTTTTTATCAGGCTTTGTAGTGGTTTTAATGTAGTTTTTGAATATGTAAATTTTTTTACTAAAAATGATCAGAGTGTGAACAAGGATTATGTTGCTTTATCGTCAGTCAAGCATCGTAAACCGTTAACAGGAACCTTCTAATGGAACCATCAATGTCAGCGAGTAGTATTGTTTATGTAGTTTTTAGTATTAATTAATTGTACCCCCTCCGTCCCATTGGAAGATTCCCGCAAGTAAATGACACCATTTTTATGCAAGTGGTTAAATAAAGTAATTTCGGTAAAAAGAGAGGAAAGAGAAAATTTAGGAAAAGTAAACACATAAAGTGTATGTGATTAAATTGAGATAGTTGGGGAAGGGGAAATTGTTAGATTTGACATGTCATAAGTAGGAAAGAGAAATTTTAATAAAAATGTAATTAAAGAGAATAAATTATTTCCTAAAATCGAATGAGTATTTTTAAATGGAATACTCAAATAAAGAAAGTGAGAACTCGGGGAGTCCTACTGTAATAGTTTATCATATCAAACAGAAGTGTAATGGCTACAACCTTTTTTACAATCTTTTTGTTCATCAACCACTAGCCATCAATGGAGGACCTAGGGTGGGGCCTACCGGGGGCAAGTGCCCCGGCTTCCGGCCAGGAATTTCACTACGAGTACTTAGGGTAAAATAGGTGCCCCTGCTTCCGGCCAAAAATTTCACTAATACTACTTCAGGTAAAATTAGTGCCCCAACCCGTACAAAAAATTATTAGTATTAGACAATGAAGATACTAAAATGTTACGGTTATACAAATTATCAGTTAATACACAATTGCAATTAGTTGTTGTGGCCAATTGTTTTGAATGAATTACGGTTGAGCTTAATGGATTGAAGACTCTAATCTTGAATGAAAATCCACATGCAAAATATATTGGGAAAAGGGGCAAATAAGCCCTCGAACTAACTAAAAAAGTGCAAATAAGCCCTTATATAGGAGACTTTGTCCGGCCGTCATCATTTGGGGAGGTTCTCGCTGAAATTTTTTATGAAATTTTGTGAGCATCTTCTTCATTAAGTCTAGTTTAGTCATACCGAATTTCAGCTAAAAATTCAATCAGGAAGGCAGTCAAATGAATTTTAGAAAATAACAACGCAATGAAACAGCGCAGTATATTTCAGAAAATCATTTGACATCCTTCACGGATGAATTTTTAGCTGAAATTTGGTATGTCTAAACTAGACTTAATCAATAAGATGCTCACGAAATTTCATTAAAAAATTCCACCAGAAACCTCCACAAATGGCGACGTCCGGACAGAACCTCCGATATAAGGGCTTATCTGCACTTTTTTGGTTAGTTTGAGGGCTTATTTGCCCCTTTTCCCAAATATATTCATTGTTTTGCTCACCAATTGCAATTAGTTGTTGTGTCTGTTGCACAAAAAATAAGTTTGGTGAGTGATTTTTTGAATATTTGTCCATAGTTACTAACATGGTAGGATCTTCTTGTAAAAGAAAAGACGAGTTTCGAGTTTTGACAAAAACAACATGAAGCTATGGTAGAGATGGTAGAAAAGGGTGAACTTACAATTGGGAGAAGATTGTATCAAGAAAGTAGTTTAGCTAGGTCGGGAGCTACACATTGGCCTGGGGTTCACATCATACAACCATTATTCGTATTCTTTCTATGTGGCCTCCTACCATTCAAGTTCTTGATAATATACTTGATGAAAAAGTGTTGGGGCTGACGAATATATTGTCACATTTCTTGCAACAAAAAGATCAAAACATTCTCGAGGCTGTGAGCTTAGTTAAAAGCACTAAAGCTAAATTTCATGATTTGAGAGAAAGTGGATGAGAGTTAAGAGCAACTCCCGGTGTGGATATATGAAATGAGAACAAGTGAATTATTTTCTGCCATACAGACTATTGGTGAAGTTTGCAAAAAGATGGTTGAGCTTAATGTTCACAATTCTTTTCACTTGATATATCGTCTGATTGAGTTGACTTTAGTATTACCAGTTGCAACAGCCACCGTTGAAAGAGCCTGCTCTGCGATGAATATTATCAAGACAGATCTTCACAATAAGATGGAAGATGATTATCTTATAGATTGCTTGGTGTGCTACATCGAGAGAGATGTTTTTCGGAGTATTAATAATGAAACTATTATGCAACATTTTCAGAATATGAAAACTCGTAGGCTTGATTTATCAAAGTTGCAGAAATGAACTATTTAATATGTAATTAACTACTCCGTATAATTTATGCTATTGCCTTACTTTTTACCATCTTTATTACATTTGAAATTTTTATTATAAAATAAGTTTATTGTCTAGTGTGCCCCTGCTCTGACAAATCTCTGGGTCAACCATTACTACCCATTACTATCACATAACAATTCTCCATTTATACTTGCATTACCCCTCAGCTCACATTCCAATAGTTTCGCTGTATTATATTATTATTATGATTTGATTTGAATTGATGCATTTATAAGTATGTAAACCAATTCATTTATACGGAGTAGACATTTAATCATGATCATTTATACCTGAACCAAACTTGTTGTGTACGGAGTATAATAATTAATTACTAAATTTGAATCACAAAAAACTCCATGTATACCATTTATTACACACTCCTATTACATACGAAGTATTTTGATTTAAAATGTCTAAACACTATGGAGACTGGAGAGTGATGTAAGTGGTTGAATGAAAATATTTCAAAACAAAATTGTTCCTTATATAGAAATCAAACGGACACTTGAATGCATTTATAGACACCTCTATCACTAAACCAAACACATGATACTATTAATAGCTTATAACACTCCACAATTAAGTATATACAAGTATTTGCTGACGGGATATTATAAAATAGCTTTAGACATAAAAATTTACATATGCTGTAGTGCTGTACCAAATTAACACAAAGTATATACTTCCCCTTTTTTCTTTTGTTACTCTAGGGATCGGATAAGAGGAGTTTCGAACTCGAGACTTCCTGTATCAGAGACTCGATCGGAGACCACTTTCTCGCTAATTATTTTATTATTATTAGTGTTACTCCAGATTTATTAAGCGCATGAAATACCAATAGTGGAAGAAGCCATAAACCGCTCGGACGGCGTCCGCCGCACCAACGATCTGATCTCCGGCGAGAGCATATTGTACTCCGGGACCTCCGGGATCGTCAAAAGCTCCGGCACGTCACCGGGCTTCTCACAAATGGCCTTAAGCAACCCATCCCGAGAAGCCTCCGCGGCTCGGAATTGCTGCTGGCGCTGCTGCTTAGCGCCACCGTTACCGTCGACGGCAGGAGGTTTGTGCCGGAAAACGGATTTGAGAAGCTTCTGGAAGGACCGAGAAATCTTGGACGACGGAGACGAGTGCGCTCCCTTCGGCGGCGGCGGCGGGTGAAGCTGTATGGTCCGGCGGCTGCGGTTGTCGGGTAAATGGGGCATCGAGAAGCTTCTAGAATCTATAGCTGAGTTGAGCTGGCGCTCGAATGACCTCAGCTCGAAAGAGTCGTAGAGAGAGCTTCCGCAGTCCCACATTTGCTTCGTTTTCCCGGCTGAAACGCCGTCGGCGGCGGCGGAGACGGTGGCGGGTTTTGGATCTTGAGGAGTTTTTTCCATTGCGGATGATAAAGGAATGGTGGTTGTGTGACTTGTATATATACACACGAAAGCGTGGGAGAGGCGAAGGGTAAAAGTGTAAACTTCATTTTGGATTTGATACACGTACGTATTCAGTTAAGTTTTTTCGCAGGCTGTGGGAAATTTTGAGCCATTCGTATATACGGAGTATAAGTTTGTGGCGTGTAGGATTGTGCATTACTGCTTTGGCTTTGACTTGTTTTTGGGGTTAAAGCCATTAGAGGTGAGTAACATTTAAACTTTTGTTAATAGTTGGTGCTCCAATATTATTGAGAAATTGGAGAGATCTCGAAATAAGATTAAAATGATTCTCGAATTTCAACATTTCTTCTCGAAATAGGAGTAATATGACAGTAATTATTGTAATCTTTCTTGAATCAATATTATTGTCAAAATAGTTGTAATACTAGGCATTAACAATATTTAGTGCCATTAATGAAAACATTTTTTGTCATACCAATAACAAATCCCGGGAAAACATAGCAATCCTATTTCGAAAATTCAAAATTCACATATTTAAAGTTTGTCTAGGTTAACATTTTGAGTTGGAGTTCGGCTTTAGTTCAGTTCAAGTTTAGCTTCTAATTTTGAAACTGGAGCGTGATAGCTGAATGAAATAGACTCATTTGACTACAAAGGTTTTATAAAGACGGAAAAAATGTAAAACTATCATAAAAGTAAGTGTTTAATAGAAATAAAAAATGATTTGAATAATGAAAAGGAAAAGTTCACTTAAACTTGCAATAAATTATGGATAAAGTATATGGTTCCCTCAAAGTACCATACTTTGCACTCATTGATCAATTAGAATATTGCATTTGAATAGTTTAAACTTAAACAAAGTGATGAAATGACTTGGACCAATCAAATCAAATACTACCTATATAATAAGTATGGTACCTCGTTTTTAAATGGAAATTAAATGGGTGAACTGAAACAAGTGATGAAATGACTGGACCAATCAAATCAAATATATACTCCCTCCGTCCCAAATTATAAGATACTTTTCGGTTTATGATGTTTGACTGACGATAAAGCAAACAGATCCCTGTCTGCAGTCAAATTATTTTTAGAAAAAGAAAATTACATATTCAGAAAATACATTAAAACCGCTACAAAACCTGTAAAAAAATCATTCAAATTTCATAAAATTTTGATATATAAAGTAAAAGATTAAGAGTAATTTGTGTTGACCAAGTGAATAGTAAATGTATCTTATAAAATGGGATAAGTATGGTACCTCGTTTTTAAATGGAAATTAAATGGGTGAACTGAAACGCTACAAACATTTCAATTTAGGTCATTAACACAATGAGTAACATTTCAAAATAGATCATTAACTTTAGAGCTAATGCAGCCCAACCTTCTATGAACAAGGCTAAGTGTGAATTAATAATTGCCTAAATTGATCGAATTCCAGCTCATTTAAAGTTATAAGTTTAAATCAAAATTATAAACATAGTTTTGTTTATATATGTTTACAGCTTTAGGTCCAAGGCAAGTGAGAAATACTTGCCTAAACTAAGATAGTATTCGTAGTGTGATACATATAATTACATACACCATCTTAGGATTGGATTCACGGTATTTAAATTATTAGTTAACTTTCAACTTTCTTTCGCAGGGCGAGGGGAAATATGAGCCATTCGCATATACGACAGAGTATAACTTGGTGGCGTGTAGGGTTGTGCATTACTGGTTTAGCTTCGACATTTTTTCTATTATGAAAAGAGCAGATTTTATGGTTGTTTAATGATTTAATCACTTTAATACTGTTATTATTATATGTGTTTCGCAGGTCGCAATTTTGGGTTTAATTATTACTACGTCTAACTCCTATGCGTGCTAAAGTTAATCATGTTTTTGAACCAAAAAAAAATGCAATTTGATGTTATGATATTGTTCACATTTAGTTGCAACCGTCTACTTTTCACATTTGACAACGCACAAGTTTGACCGTTAATATCTTTTATTTCTTATTAGTAAAAAATTAAAAAATTCTGATTTTGAAAATTTAATTAAGAGAAGTTAATCATAACTTTCAAAATTTAATTTATAATGCATCAATAAATAAAATGTAGTCAAAATAGAATATATGAATAAGGCATAATACACTAATGTTGCAACTAAATAAGAATGAGGTGGTATAAATCAACCATGCAACTAAATTTCTGGAGCAGGGACGGATTCCGAATTTAAGGCTAATGAGGTGAATTTTTTCACTAGTGCAAGGCTTTGCTTATTTTTTTATTCAAACAAATTCCAATAGTACATGCAGGACATTTAATTCTGCTACAATATAAACTTACACAATGAGATGATTTTATAATTAAAGTGCTTCAGAAAAACAATAGAAAAATTCCTGAAATGAGAGTAATTTCAAAATAGGACTGTCATATTTTTATTCCTTAAATATGAGTAATTACTGTCAATCTTGGAAAATAATGTCATATGAAAAGTTTGACAATGTCAAAGCATGACAATAATTAATTCTTTTTAGAAGAAAAAAAGTATGATAGTCCTATTTTTGAATTCACAAACTCTTCTACTCGTATCTAAGGTAGTCTCTTAAAAAGTATTTATACAAAAGTTAAAGAAATGAAAACCAAAGGAAAAGTAATTGATAATAAAAATGTTATTATTTTATCAAATTATTTGAAGATAAAGAGTCTAAAAGGTACACATTCACCAATACTTTTATATAGTTTATACCTTATTTAACTGCATGGATCTTATTGAAATAAAGAATAAATTTTTCAATTATACTTTTGTCTATCAAGGGTGTTCGTAAGCAGCGCGAAGATTTTTCAATACTAAATATGTTTTTAGTCCCTGCAAATATAAGATATTTTGTCTTACAACCCCGCAAAATTATTATTTTTGTTTTTTTTGTTGGTTTTCGGTTTAGTCCATCATTGATCATAACAATCTCCGTTTGACCTCAAAATAATCCCGATTAGTAGATTTCCTCTAATTCTTTGTCATGTTAATAAAAAAGAATTTAATTTAAAATTTTAGAATCCCTATTTTTATTGTATAACTTTAAAATGTGAATACTTTGTCTTGCATTATTTTAACACTCATATTACCCCCCAAAAAACATAAAAGGACAAATTCAAAAATTTCTAATAGATTTATGTAATTGACAATAACTTCTTTTGTAAGTTCAGAAGTTTTGGAATAAGAGATGGACTAAAAACATAATAGTGCACATTGAAGGAATAAAACACAAGAATAATATTTTGCAGGAACTTGAAACAAAATGTGTTATATTTACAGGGACTAAAGACAATAATATGTATGAACGCATTGTTCATACTTACTCCACTATTCTATTAGGCCTTCTAGCGTTTATGCATGCAGCAGATGTACGTAGTAGCGATCATTTGATTATGTTTTGCCGCGAGTACTACTTTGTTGTGTGAGGGTGAAATTACTTTTTTGGTTTTGCCAATTTTAGTGCTTTTTAATTCATTAATATTACTGATAATATTTATATAAAAAAACTAACATATCTAATTGTATACAAATGACGGCGCCAAATTAGAAGTTCCCGAAATAACTTATTAATTTAAAATAATTAAAATGCTTAATGGCGAAATCTATATTGAGAATCAGTTTGCACAGTAATCTAGCAAGAGATTTGTTCACGTCAGAATGCATGTAAAATACAAAATTAGTTTTCTCCTACTCGGTCTGCTACATACAAGACTATATCTACCCGTCATAAGTCGGGGTAGATAACGTTGGGGAATGAAAACTCTCAGGGAATAAAACACATGAAATCATAGGTTTGGAGACATTTCTGTTGGGAATAACAGGATCATGCTAATATGAGAGAAATACACTTCTATTACTTTCAAGAATAGAAAGAAGAGACATACAAGCTCTAACTAAAAACTCTCAAAAACACCTCACATATCTCTCAAGGATATTCACAACTCAATCTTGGTTGTGCTATGATGATCTATTCTAATTTACTTGATGATAGAAAGACTCTCCAAGCTCTCTATTTATAGCACCAAAACTAGGTACTAGGAAGGTGGAAGGAAGGTGTGTTGAAGCTAAGAGGAAGCTTCAATGGAGGTGTGAGGAAGGTGGTTCTTGGGTGTGAAGAAACTTCCCTTGTCATTCTTGCACATGGAGGAAGTTACATAGAAACTAGAAATTGGATTCTTCAATTGGCTTGTACTTGGATATGTCCTGGAAATTGAATTCTTCAATTCTCCCCTTCCAGGCATATTCAAAACAAGCATCCCAACTATGTCTCTGCATAGCTCTAGCTTATCTCCTGTCACCACCTTCGTCAGCATGTCTGATGGATTCTCCTTAGTATTGATCTTCACTGGTCTCAACAGTTGTTGATCAATCGTCTCCCGTATCAGTGATACCGAACATCAATATGCTTTGTACGAGAATGGTACATGGAGTTCTTGCTCAAGTCTAGAGCACTCTGACTGTCACAATGTACCTTGTACTCTTTCTGCTGGATCCCAAGTTCTTGGAGAAAGTGCTTTAGCCACAACATTTCCTTACCTGCTTCAACGGCAGCAATGTATTCTACTTCTATTGTAGATAAAGCGACACACTTCTGCAATCTTGATTGTCAAGAAACAGCTCCTCCAGCAAAAGTGTAGATATATCCTGTAGTATACTTTCTACTATCAATATCTGCGGCCATATCAGCATCTGTGTAGCCTTCCAAGACTGGATCAACTCCTCTGTAACAAAGACATAACTTCTTGGTACCTTTCAAGTACCTGAGAATCCATTTGACTGCCTCCCAATGCTCCTTCTCGGGGTTAGAGAGAAAACGACTCACTGTACCCACTGCCTGTGTGATGTCTGGCCTTGTGCATACCATGACATACATCAAACTTCCAACTGCTGAAGAATGTGGAACTGCTGACATCTCCCCAATCTCTTCCTTGGATGTAGGGCATGTTCTTTTGCTCAACTTGAAGTGATTCGCAAGTGGAACACTTACTGGTTTGACAT